AGAAAAATGCAAAGAGGTGAAACTATTTTTTCGTCCTTAATATTAAGATTATTTTATAGTTTTATCTCTTATATCATTAAGGTCAAAATAGTCTTTCTAATCAAACAAGGTTTATCATTTTTCTTCTAACTCCCCTCTTACAAAATCCTCCAAACAACGTAAAATATTTTTACATCCCCTTTCCTCCCTTCCATTAAAATTCCCTCCCCTCCATTTCCCTCTTTCGAACCAAACATAGCCTTAGGGAAAACAACTCAAGAGTGAAAGCACGTAGGAAGTTTAATCTGTTTCACTAAATAGTAAATACAAACATCATTAATTATTTTATTTGAGTTTATTGTATTTTGGGTTCCACACCAGTTTCTCAACTGAGTTCAGAAAATAATTGGTGTTTATGGAAGTTGTGGCAACCATTATTGTCATTTAATTTAATAATGAAAATAAATCATAACAGCTTTGACAATAAGCACACAGTATATTGCTCGTTGTGTTTATGGTTAGGGGGCGTCATTAATTCTTAAAACACCCAAAAGGTAAAGTACAATTGTCCCTTCTTTGTATCTTTTAGCTGAAGGAAGTCAACAACTGAGCTATATAATTAGCGGAAAATTCGACCCATTTTAGCCATTAATTTACACCCATACACACCCCTATGCAGTATGTGTAAAATGAAAGGCTAAGGTGTAAATTTAGAAGTTATCGTTTATTATGATCAAATCGAAAAATAAAATATAAATTAAGTACATGTGAAACTTGGCCATTGAAAAATATTGGAAAAACTACCTTGGTCTCTTCACTTGGAAAGTTGTTTCAGAAGAGTTCCCATAGTAAAGACATTAGTTAATAGGCTATTCGGGCTACAGCCTACATATATAAAAGACATGCAAAGGTGAAACGAAGCTTAAAACCAAATCATACAATCAAAGATCACAAACAGTTATCGCTAACAAATAGTTTGTTGGGATCTTACGTTCAAGATCAACTCGTTGTTCGTACCAGGCACGATCCTCTTGAACAATGCCCAATTATTACTATGCTCTGAATACTTTGAACGAAAATTCGTGTTTAGCGAGTTACTTATAACTGCTCGACATGCTCAGTGATCACGTTGGGACACGATTGCGCTTGAAGAAGCTCCAGTCGGTTCGCAGGTGGCACAAACTGCAACATATAGTCTTCATCTGCAACCGTACAATGATAATCAAGTCGAGTCTTCTCAGTATAAACATGTGCTGTGTCGTGCTTTACTGTATACTTTGTTCTATGCAATTCACTATAGTATCTTACGTATTACCCATCTTATTTGATCATAAATATGACAAGGAGCTTAAATTTAATTAAATTTTCGATTTCGTATTTTAATGTCCGAGTTTCATGCTGTGTCCTTAGTCTGTACAATCATGTTTCTAATAATTGTGTCGCGATTATCACATAATGTTGGTCAGTACCTCCCCTAATTTAATCCATTTCCTTAATAAGGTCAAAGGAGATATTGTAAAAGGTACTTACTCTCTTTAACAGTCCCATAAAGCCAGCACAAGACCTCATCAGCAAATGCTAAGCACACTCCTCCCTGAGGGAACACAAAAGTCAGCAGGCCTTTAATAAAATCGAGATTCCAGCAGTTTCGCATACAGAAATGTTATTAACTACTTCAGTGCCACAAAATGATTCTCTTCATAAATTGAAAAAAGAGTATAACAAAAAAAAAAATAAATAATTTTACCTGCCAGTAATTTTTCATCTTCACTCTGTGTGTTATATCTTTAGTTCTAAGTCTTTCTGTACGCACAAGTCGGCCGCCATCATCCCTGCAATAAGAAAGTGCAAATCACGAGGGTTCACATACCAAAAATGGCAAAAGATTGGAAAAGTTTTCAGGTTCTTATGGTTTCTGAACATCATATCATAATCCAGGTATCCACTAGGGGAATATAAGTAGAACAACAATTATAATCACTATTATGCTATTCGAGAAATATGAAGACTATACCTGTACCCAATAACAATATAAGGTACACCGGCAAGGAATGATTGTATCTGCAACAGGTGGCAGCATATATTAATATGAAAGTATCAAGACAGCTCAGCAAGATCTCATGTGTGTGTGTGTGTGTGTTTGTGTGTGTGTGTGTGAGTGTGTGCAATCAGGCTTACGAAATACAAAAATGAAAGTAACGCAATTATTTTATAATACAATAATCAACTACGAAAATAAAGAAGATAATAACAAGGACGCTTAACTTAAATATGTCGATGAAAAGAAACTCAAGACAAATCTAAAATGGAGATTACCCAGAACTTAAGCAATTTCTCCCTCTCGTATCTTTCTTCAGTGTGATAATCTAACTGGAATCACAAGTTAAAGAAATCCAATTTTAACCCAAGTAGGATAACTAGAGCCCATAACAAAGAGAAAGTCCAAACGTGCAAACCTCACGACTTGTCTTTAGTTCCACATAGAATCTCCTACCCTCATCAGTTGAATCACAGCAGTCCATTTCAGCACCCATGAGAATACGGTGAGCTCCTAATTTCGTCTTAATCACAGAGCAGTATTCAACATTGGCATCAACATGATGTATTCCTTCCCCGTCAGCCCTTCTTGGATCTTCTGTAGCAAGAGTCTCGAAACAGTAACCCCAATAACACCTATGTCGAAAGGGCGGGTATATAAACAGAACAATCAATAGATATTATTGAAAAACTAAAAGCATGAAGCATGATTTGATTATGTCAAACTGTTTAAAAACTTCAAAAACAGAAAATTCCTAAAACCACATATATTTCTTTTAATTCCAATAGGTGTTGCAAAGATTTCCCAAATACAGATAATAGCAATGCACCACTCCACTTCTCAGGCAACTCCAGAATGAATGAACAAATTAAATAAAATAACAAACAAAAGAAGCTGATCAAGAAAGTTAGTAGGAAAGGGACTCTTAAGGTTAAGTGACCAGAAAGTAATCTTGTACCTTCGACGATCTAGTTCAGTCTGGGGCCTCTCAGGCAATTTATGCACATCTAGATAAACTACTCCATTCCTTTTATGCACCCCCATTTCCCAGGGCTCGTTCCTGATATAAGCAGTGGCCAGAATCTGGAGATGGAATAAAATACTCAATAAATAGAAAGAAATGATTCTACTAAGCAGAGAGGCCAAAAGAATAGAAGAACAAATATGAAGTAGACAAAGATTTATTTTTTTTTTCTACAAGGTGCGAGAACAGGTAGGGGAAAACAAATAATTGAAAACAGAGAAAACGATTTCCAGTTGTTTTTCAGAGTTTGATTGATCATTTGATGTAGAGTTCGAGAAGATCTTCCAACTAACAAATTTCAGCATCAAGTTTACAGGAGATCAAAACACTTGCGCTAGATGTGTTGTTTGCATGATTACTATATGCATGTGCAATGTGCTAAAGATGTTTCTTATATTTGGACTATATTAACCTCCTACAGTTTCCACACTCCAAAACTACTAATCCTATGCACAACCTGGCAGATTGTCCAAGGGTCAGCTTGGGCACTAGGTCCTAGACAGCCTAGCACATGATGCTTTTTAAACATAGCCATGAACATGTAAGTCCAAAACTATCTTGGTAGTCATTTGGAGACGACAATAATTTTAAAGAAGACCAGCCAGCAAATGATAGAGCTTCTAGCAGAAGAAGCAAGAATTACCTTGTTTAAGTTGTTCCGATATGTCTGCAACAGGAACAAAGAAAATATAAAAGGTTAAATGTCTAGAAACACCCTTTCTAAAAATTTTTTATAAATATAAGCTGGACACATTGGTTGTCTTACCACAAAGTGCATGTTTTGAAGAGGAATATTTTTGTTTCTTATTGTAGCAAGGAGGTCACCAAATCCTTGAGAACCCAGATCTGGTATGACCATGACGAATTGACCACATTTAGTAGATATCTAGTCGCAAACTAGATTTGGAAGTACAAAGAGCATATCAGTAGATGAATTGGCAATAATGTGCGTTTTAGCATACCTTTCTTCGCGATGAAAGTATCAAAACCCTCATTCAGGTCGGCACCAATATCTTCAGTTATAAGCCTCTTAAACAGCCTCTAGCAACACAAAAGTATTAGCCGAGACAAGTTGGGAATCAACTTGCAGTAGAACTGTGAGGAAAAAGAGAAATGAGGCTCACCAAACTCCGGTCGTCAAAGTAGACATCTCCACCTTCTACACGACTGAAGCAAGCAAGTTCACACGGCTATTTGCAAATACAAAAGCTTAAATTTATAAATAAGAAGTAACAAAGTTCATTAATCAAAAATAATATGCATGGAAACATGCATGCGCAACATTTCTCTTTGAGATCCAAAATTGCATTTTTTTTCCACTTATCTTTTCCCTGTTTAGGGTGGGATGGAAGTAGAGGCCAGCTGTATACATGTGAGACCATTCACAGACCAAACCCAGAATCATAAACTGAAGTGCTCTCTTAGATGGCTAGTCTTTTTTCCCCTTTGTTTTTTCCAAGTTTATCAACAGTTCAAAATTCCTTTTCACAGTTCAATTGCTCTCGCACATGTTCCAACTTGAAAATCTTAGCTAACAATTAATATATTTTACAATAGCATTCGTTAGTGTTTTCCACAATGAAGAAGCATCAGAACTCGGCCATCCAAGCAAGCAGATGGTTGGCAGTACCGCAATTCATGAGACTTAATCCTCCTGTGACCTCATAATGCTAACATCATAGGATAAACAATATACTGAATACTTTTGCAAGCAGTCAACCAACTAGAAATCACTCAGATATTCATAAGGCAAAACAAATGTTCCCAGGCTTTATTATTAGAAGTTCAGAATTTGTGAAGAATTGGTAGCTGGCGGAGATACAAAATGTTATGTACCTCTTGAAAAGCAATGGCTTTTCTTGCTAGCGTTTCTTCACTTTTTGAGAATTTCAACTCAGAAACAAAACGCTCATCACGAGGAGCATTGAAAAACTTCTGACCATAACCATAGTTCTGCCTTTGTGGATAAGGCCCAGGGCGTGGAAGGAGACCAGCCCCTCCTCTATCATTTTGCCAACGACCACGCCCAAAACCTCCTCTTGTGTGATTGTTCATATTCCGTACAGGAGGCAAGACTGTGTACGCAAGATAAGAAAAAAATTCGTGTAAAAAACTGCAATACAGGCCAACTATTTAAACAAGAAGTCAAGCTCTATCAACTCTTAGTGAGATGTTATTATGTCCTAGGAGGCTTCAGATACAACAGTGCTCATTTATTATCCTTATACTGCAAAATTTCTTGCCTTTGTCAAAATATCCATGTATGAGCTAAAAATTGAGCCAGAAAGCAACTAATAAAAAGTATGTGGCTGCTACCTGCTAAGATTTGCAGTGAACATAAAAATAGAAACAAATGTAAGCATCCCAAACACAATCCCCCAAACAGAAGCATTTGGGGGAAAAAACACTTGGCAAGTAGCAAAAACCCTAAATAGTGTATTAAGGCCATTGAACCCCAAATGCCTCAAATCAAGGTTTTAAGGTAGTACACCAACCAAAAAAAAGATTAAAATCAATTAAAAAATATGTATTGATTGATACCTGGTACAGGATGGGGACTATTGGCCGGCGTTTTGACGTAATCCTCATTATCGGAGCCAAACAGATCTTTGTCGTCCTCCACCTCCTCCTCGTTCTCGTAATAGTGACTGTTACCGTCTTCATTGTAGCCATAAGTGTGATTAATGCCGGCAGATGACCTCACTTCACCACGATTGTCGTCATCGTCGTCATCTCCTTCGCGGCTGCGGCTGCTGCCGCTGCGATTGGAGGAGGAGGACGCGGAGGATGAATCGGAGGAGGAGGAGGCGGCGGAGGATGAGGAAGACGAGGAAGACGAGGAGGAGGACGAGCTCCGCTGCTGGCGTGGCTCCCCGTCTGGTTCCTCGTCGTTAGAGTTGTTGTTGTTGATGGTTTCATCATCCTCGTCCGAATCTCCGAACAGATTCATGGCTTGCTCTGCAAAGTCCATGGGTTAGCGCGGCCGCCGGTGGCGGTGGTGGCGTGGCTATAAAGCCTAAAACTTGGAGCTGAAGAAAAGTTTCAACGGCGGCTACTGGTGGGGTGTGTTTTTCTCCGGCTGTGCTCTTTTGCTTTCTTCAAGTGTTTTGGGAGTAATTATCACGTCTAATTCAA